CTGTTTTTAAATGAAAGCCATGCATTCAGCAAAGGGAAAGGGTCTTGGAAGAATTCTTGAAGGGAGCTAGTTGGCCAGACCCCCTTCCACCTCCATGAAGATTCCAGTGACACAACCTCCCATTGTCCCAATTTGAGAGGGACTATTCTGTCCTCCCAGTTTTTCAGCTGCTTTGAAAACATCCCAGTTCTCTCTTCCCCTTCCACTTTCCCTCCCTCTCTCTTCAGCTTATTTCCTTTGCTGCCAATGGAGTCCAAAGTGCAAAAATAGTTTGCACTCAACTCAGCAGCGGGAGCAGAAGCGACAAAATCTTGCCCTTCCCAGTAGGCTCAGGCAAAAGCAAACTCCTGCAGCCTCTCGCTTGTGTGTTCTTCCTCATGAATAACATTTGCCAATTGACCACACTCAGATGTTGCTTGGCTATAGTTGTCCTAGTTTTCTAGTAACAGGGCCAGTCTACTGTAGTAGAACAACTATGAGGTGTTGAGGGAGAAAAGTCAAATATTGCCAAGTTTACAGAGAGCTGTTTTGAAACTAACTACGGTTAGCCTAAATATGAATGCGGAAAGCATTTATTGGTTAGCTCTGGAAAGAAAAGGAGGGAGAATGGGTGTGCAAGGGCAGAGGCAGAAGGGAACATTCAGCCCCCAAAACACTTCTGATCATGGTTAGGAAACGGGATGTTATTTCTGCACCAAGCTGCATGCCCATTATGTAAGGCATATTTTACTGTATATTTCAATTTTTCCCTTGACCTTGCAATGCAAGGTGAAAAAAAAGGGGGGGATCTAAAGTTCTCCATGTGACCTAACCATAATTGGGGACTACAGTTCCAGAAACACACTCAATGTTATAATTTATTTCTGGCATTGCATTCAAATCCCATTATGTGAAATCTGTTCCTGTTTATATTGTGTTGCAAGCAAGCCTGGTCTTACACTCCAGTGGGCAACATGTGTGGAGGAGAACAAGAACATCACATTTAGGTACAATGTCACTGAACACCACCACCTTTTGCAAGACAGTGTTG